TCAGAAGATCAATAAATACATAGCCAATAAAACACGTGGGAAATTTATCAACCTGCTCAGTAATCTGAATCCAGATACTGAAATCCTTCTTATTAATTACATTTACTTTAAGGGTAAGACAAAATCCTTGGTCATCCCTTCTCAGGTCATTTGGCTTTCCTTATGTCACTTCTCTAGCCTTCACCACTCCTTTTTCAATACTCTTTTGGGAGGGAGAACCTCAACCTGCTTCACAATTGGCCTTTTACTCACATGGTTAATTATGAAAAGAGCTGGTCAGTACATTTACACTGAAAATAATTTTCTGACTGAAAATGTTGACAGATTTTTTTGGACAAAATGTTGGTGAAAAGGGCTTATTTTCCGCAAGATCCCGTCTATACTGACGCTTTTCTACGGCAAAACCCCGAGCCGGAAAAAAGCGGCAGCCATGTTCATGCAAATGCCGTGGGGGATATTTAAATCCTCTGCGGCATTTGCAATTCCGACTGGTCTCATTAGCATCCCTTTTCCGGAAAGGGGTGCCAATGTAGACACAGCCTTAGAGTGCATCTACACTGCACCATTATTTTGAGATAACTAGGGTTATTTTGAAATAACAATGCGAGTGTCTACACAGCTATTCTGATATTTCAAAATAACGGATGGCTTATTCCGAAATCGGTAAACCGAATTCTACGAGGAATAACACTTATTCTGAAATAGCTATTTCGAAATAAGGTGTGTGTAGACGCTTCACTGCTTCTACAATAGCCTCCCACTAGGCCCATGCTAAATTATTCCTCCCTAGTGCCTCCTGGGGCTCTAAGTTGAGATAGCATGTCTACATTAGGGAAGCCTTCCTCAAACTAATTTTGAGGCTTCCCTGAAGTATAGACGTGCTATTTCGAGAAAAGCTATTTTGGAATAACTATTCTGGAATATCTTATTTCGAAATAAGCGTGCAGTATAGATGCGCCCTAAATCATAAACATAGGACCCTCTGAAGTCAATAGGACTCATTGCTTAATTGCTTTCCTGAATTGACATCCTACAAAAATACTATGCAAATTTCTGCTAAGCAAGTTTAGAGTGCAGTTTGCAAAATGTTGTATGATCTTGAAACAGCATATTGAGTGGAAAATTCTCTGGTCTGTTCCAGCAAGAGCAAACAGCACAATATGCAGGCATATAACAGAGGCAGACATGTAACAGAACTTCTCCTCCTCAAAGCCCACCTCTTTACAACTCTGCAGTCACTGATTACACATTTTATCATATTCTGAAACTGAAGTAGAACCCCCAGTCAGTCCAGTGTTTTCATGTATGAGTCTCTTCGCTCACGCAAGAGGTCTTTTTGGGTTCTTTATTTGAACTTATTTTTTTAAAATCAAATATTTCAGTGATGTTTTTGGAAATATATTCCCTTGGTTTATAACTACCTGGTCAAAGTTTTTCAAATTTTGACCCACTCCTTCTCCAAAAACTCATTTTCCCCCGTGTTTTTCAAACACATCTATCCATTTGTGTAAATCTTTGAAGGATTAGCTGCAGAGTGATAAAACTACAGGTTGAATCTCTCTAGTCCTGCACTCTCAGGTCTGGCAACATCCTTAGTCCTGCATAATTTTAGTTAGGCAGAAGTCCATTTATCATGGTCCATTAATCCCGCAGTCCCATAACATTTGTTTACAGTCACCAGTCCTGGCTCTCAGTGTTCTGTGCTGTTACTTAGCTCTAATTTATCCCTAAATGTTTTCTAAGAGCCCAGTAAGCAATGGAAGTGTTAGTAATGCTGCTACAAAATACTGACCTCCCATGGTTTGGCAACTTCTCTGGTTTGGCACCGGTCAGATCCTGAAGGTACTGAACTAGAAAGGTTCAACCTGTAGTTTGAATCCAATTCAATGGAGTCACTTGAAAGGATGCCATAAAACACATAGAGAAAAGCTGTTGTCTCTTGCCACAGAGGGCAGAAAAGAGTCAATGAGTTCAAAGTACAGTATAGCAAATTTAGATTAAATCTCAGAAGAAACTTCCTAATTGTAAGAACAGTAGGATCATGGAACAGGCTATCTAGGGAAGTTGTAGAAGCTTCTTCACTGGAGATTTTCAGAAGGAGGCCGGCTAGCAAGGTGGCTAGGATGATTTACACCAGTGGTTCTCAAACTGTTGGTTGGGACCCCAAAGTGGGTTTTTACCCCTTTTTAATGAGGTTGCCAGGTCTGTCTTACACTTGCTGGGGCACAGGGCCAAAGTTGCAGCTCAACTCCTAGCTCCAAAGGCTTCAGTCTGAGGTGGTAAAGATCATGTTATAGGTCAGCTGTCTGGGGTAGAAGCCCTTTGGCTTTGGCCTCCGTGCCTGGAGCAGTGGGGCTTGGGTTTGTGCTTTGGCACTTCTGCACCCTCCTGGTCCTGTTGTCAGCCAGGGTTCATGGTGCAATGAAATTTGAGAACCCCTGGTTTAGACACAATAAAGCCTGCATCTTGGCAAGAGGTAAGATTACATGACCCTTGTGGTCTGTGTTTTTGTCCTTCCAAAACCAGGTCCCTCTTCCCTGCTCAATCAAGGAGGGTTAGTTTCTATCTGTCCCTCTCTAAGGGTATGTCTACACTTGCGGCCTAGTTCGGACTAGGGATGCAAATGGAGCATACCGAAATTGCTAATGAAGTGCGGGATATTTAAATATCCCGTGCTTAATTAGAATAGTCGTGGCTGGCCGCCATTTTGGATTTGGGGTATTACGAAATAAATTGCCCCATGTAGACGCGTTATTCCGAGAGAAAACTCTTCTCTCAGAATAACTGTTAAACCTCGTTGCACGAGTCCTAATGATTCTTCTCCCCTTTCCATAGTGATTGTAGCTTAAATTGAGCTGTGTGAGAATGGAGGCCTGGTGGCATTCTTTCTCACACTGTACTGACACTGATTGCTACTCTTTTTGTGTGCCTTGTGACTTAAATAGAGGGTATGTTCACCCCTACCCCCAAACACTCTCATTTTATTTGCCTCCGTAGTTCAGAGAGGAATTATTGTTCAAGCCACTAGAAAGAGCAAGCTGTAGATTTCCTTTTGTCCCTAGAGCATTGTAAAGAATTGCAGAAGTAAGACCTCTTTGAAAAGTGATTTGCTAAGAGGAAGGGAAGCACAGGCATATCTGGGTTTGGATGGAGGAGGAGGGAAGTATTCATGAATGTCACCAATAAGCAGACTATCTGCCAAATTCTGAAATCCTGTATCAATTTTTAACCAAAATTTCTGTGAAATCAGTAAGAATTTTGTCCAACTGAGCAGCAAGCAATAGGTGCTGGACATATCAGGGTTTGGGCCTATGACTTATAAAAAACCTGTTACTTATTATGGAATTTTCTTAAAACAGGGCAAGGCAAAACTTCCGTCTTGTTAATGAAAAGCTCAGAGGCTCTGACATGACATTACAAAAATTGGAGACTTCTAACAGGCAGACTTACTCTGGAATTACAACATGTTTGTGGCTTCACTGTTTATGGAGAAACTTACTGCAACAGTGTAGCAATGTTGTCCTGTTTAAAAGAATAATACTTTGAACTTTATATATTGAAAGCCCCATACAAGCATTAATTAATAATAATGACTCCTTTTAGTGCTATGTAAGTGATATTGTGCCAGTTTTATAGTTGAGGAAACAAAGGCTAGAAATTAAATGATTTGCACAAGGCCTCAGAGAGACTCTGAGTCAGAGCAGATATTAGAATTCTAGAGAACTTTGTTCTCTGTCCAGGGTTTAGTTTTACCCAGCAGGGTAATCTTGCTGTTAAGTATCTTGATTAAAAAGTAAAACGTGTTAGAGCTGGTCAGAAAGTAGGGATTGGTTTCTGTAGAAAATTTCAATAACTTTTACAAATTTCATTGAAATATCAAATACCAAAATATCTTGGTGGTCAGGGATTCAGTTTTCCCCAAAAATTTCCCCAGAAAGGTATTTTTCACAAAAGCTGTTCTAGTCAAAACTCCAATTTTCCACAGAAAGATTTCAACAACCCTATTTACAGGAACTTCTGTTCTTCATAACATTTTACATGGAAGCAAACTGCATCCAAAATGTTTCAGAACTTTCCATTCAGCTATTTTTGATATTCTGGCATTGTTTTGATTTGGAAAGAAAATGTATCAGAATTTCCTGCAGGACAGTGATGCCAATTTTTGGGATTATCTCTAGTTTGTTTAAATTATTCACTTAATCACAACTTAAACAAGATGTATTTTGAGCTAATGCCAGTAAGGTATTTTAAGACTCCTCCCATCACCATATATGTAGGCACTATAATACACACTATTTTAATATCATTAACGGCAGTGTGGGACTAGATACCAAGGTGTCTCACCTCTAAATACTAACATAAATTTTTTGACATTTATATGTATGTGTTATACAAAGAAAAGGAAGCTACAGATAGTAAGCATTATGTAAAGGGAACATATGGCATTACTGTGGAAGCACAGTTCAATGCATTCTAATGCTCTGATTTCACTCATTCGATCTTTTCTGAAAAATTCAACAGTTGGGAAAGTTTAAACAAAACTGATTTAATCATTTTTTTTAGTACACAGGGTTGGGAGGACAGGGAACAATTTATTTCCCTGTTGTAAGAATTATCCTTGCAATGTTTTGCAGTCTTTCTTGTATATTACTGCTCTATGGCTGCAATGAATGAGGGTCAATAGTTGGATTTTGGCTTGGAAGTTCTCACTGAGAAGAAGACACTTCTCTGGAAACACTTTGAGTGCTTCAGAGCAGATTGGTTTTTAGACCATGTTATTAGCTTTTGAAAATCCCATGTTTCCTGCTTGCTCAGTACATTGTGGAAGGGATTATTTACCAAGTAATCTGAAAGCTAGAGTAAACATCTTCTACCACCACATAGACTGGGTCACAGACCAACATTTAAAACATTCCCCCAATCCTAATTTGGGTAGGAAAAGCCATAAGGAGATCATGCCTGCCCCCATCTCTAAGAAATAGAATAGTCTGGCAGTTCTTTCTAGCATGAGGATAGGTATTTGGGATATACAAAGGCTATCTAAGGTGAAAGCACCATCCTTTCACTAAAGTATGGTTTCTGGCTTTGCTTAAACCACTTCCAATCCAATACCAACCCCTCGTGTGTATACTGCAATTGAATTATTCTGATATATGCATTTAGGAACAGATCCTCCATTGGTGTGAATTGGTGTAGCTATAAAGGCAAATGTAGCTACTGCAGTTAATATAAACTAAGGATGGCTTCTTGCTTCCAGAACATCCAGTAACTCTCTCTCTCTCCCTCTCTCCCCCACCCTCTCTTTCTTTGAATTCTCAGCCACATGGAATAAAACTTTTAATCCAAAGTACACTAAAGAGGCCAACTTCTATGTGGATGGAAACACAATTGTTAAAGTCCCTATGATGTTCCGGATGGGCATGTGCAAACTAGCCTATGATGAGCAGCTGGCTAGTACTGTGGTGCAAATGGATTACAAAGAAAATGCGAAAGCATATTTTATTCTGCCTGATCAAGGACAAATGACAACGCTGGAGAATGGCTTGTCATGTGAAAGTCTGGCTAAATGGAGAACATTAATGTCAGAAAGGTAAAATCTTTCAGCTCTCTACGCTATCGCTTTAGATCGGGGTGGGTAAGATACCTCTCACAGACTGGATCTGGCCCACGGACAAACTGCCAGGACCCTCAGGCGCACAACAGCCTCTGCTTTAAGTGCAGGGATGCTTTGTGTGCCTCTTTGCTCTGGAGGGAGGGGAAGCTTTGTGTGATCTCCCTGCCCCCAGCCCAATCCTCAGTTTCTATTGGTTGGAAACAACCGGCCAATAGAAACTGACCCCAGCCAATCTCTCAGCTCCTATTGGCCAGAAACAATTATTGCCTACCCCTGCTTTAGATCAAGAGTGTTGGACAAATTCTTGGAGAGGGATAATTATAGTTTAACTAGCATCTCTGGGTTATGGTATAGAATTAGTAGTAATGTGCTAACCTCAGTCCCAGTGAGATTAATGCACAAAAATCAAGGCTAAAATAAGGCCTTACGTAATTTTTAGTTATTTCCAAGGGTTTGTCTACACACATAGTGCTGCACCAAAGCAGTTGCAGTGCTGTAGGTTAGTGAAGGCACCATCTACACCGAAGGGAGATCTTCTTACACACATAGTGCTGCACCAAAGCAGTTGTAGTGCTGTAGGTTAGTGAAGGCACCTTCTATACCTGGCAGCATAGGTAATCAGCACCCTGAGAGGCAGGAACTATGTTAACAGGAGAGGCCCTCTCATTGATAGCACTGTCTACATCAGGAGTTGGGTTGGTATAACTGTGCCCCTGAGTGATGTACTTGTGGGGCACGTCTACACAGCAGGGCTAAAGCCAAAATGTCAGTTGTGTAGCTTAAGTCGAAATAGCTTATTTCGGCTTTTGGTGCTGTCTACACAATAGGAAGTCCAGAGACGAGCACTCTTCCTTTGACTTCCCTTCATCCTTGTAAAATAAGGGTTACAGGAGTCGGAGTAAGCAGTCCCCCAGCTCAACATTATTTTGACATTGTATTGAAATAACTGCTTGTAGTGTAGACACGGTCTATGTTATTTCGGAATAACGTCAGTTATTTGGAAATAACACTGCTGTGTAGACACACCTGTACTGACAAGTCTGTAGTGGAGATCAAGCCCAAGACATGTCATCTGTTCAGTATCCCTTTGTTACATTCTGTGTCACTCCATCTGAAATTTTAGGAAATTTCAGCTTCTTTTTAGGACCACTGCCATTGCTGCAGTTTGTTTCTTTTGCTTTCCTATATCCCTTTCTCTGAAGTGTCTTCTGCCTTTATCTCATGTTTCCCTTCTGCATGTCCCTCCGTGTGTCAGATTTCCTTTCCAAACCCCTGAATCAACTCTCTTGTGTTTTTTCCCACCCCGCAGGCTAAGATTAACAATGAAAAAATTAATGCTAATATTTTAAGTTTAATTATTTGTCTTCAGAGTTATATCAGTGAGATGGAAGGAGGAAGAGTTTGTGCATGTTAAAACCTTTTTTCATGGGGCTGCGAGGTTACATTTCATTGGTTACATTAATCTCACATTATCTTTGCAACCCATGGAACTCCTAGAACTCACAGGAGTATTTTGCAAAGTGTTGCTCATTACTGTCAAGATCAGGGTGGCTAGACATCCTGATGTTAGAGTATGTCTGCATTGCATTCCTCCTTCAAAAGAGGAATGCAAATGCAGACAAGTGAAATTGCAAATGAAGTGCAGATTTGAATTTCCCGTGCTTCATTTGCATAATCGTAGACTGCCGCTTTTCCAAAATAGCCCGAGGGGTTATTTCGAGAAAAATAATCCCTTCTAAATAACCCTTATTCCTCATTTTCTCTTGAAATAACCCCGTGGGGACCGCGTTTGTTTTCTCAAAAGATGCTATTTCGGAAAAGTGGCGGTCCGCGATTATGCAAATGAACACAGGAAATTCAAATCTGCACTTAATTTGCAATTTCGCTTGTCTGCATTTGCAATCCTCTCTCAGAAGAGGAATGCAATGTAGACATACCCGTAGACACTTTGTCTTATACAAGTAACTATTACCTTTCTTGCCCACCATCCTAATTTTTTAGCCTTGCTATCTGGTTGCCCTAGTAGAGATTGTTTGATAGAAGGTGTAGAAGCACAGTGTGTTAAACTTAGATACAGCAAGAGCCCTATTTAACACGTTGGTAATATGCTGCATTCTTCTTCCCCTCACATTAGCAGTAGATGGGGACAGATGGAATGGCTTATTCTAAAGTGGGAGGATAGAAATGATCCAGTGACAGCTGTGTCATTAATACAGCAGCAGTCAACATCTCCTACCAAAAAAAAAAAAAAAAGTGAAAGGAGAAGAGAACAGCAATCAGGAAAGAGTCTATAGTACCCCAACTAGCACTATTAGGCAGGAACAATCCTAGCATCTAACTTAAGACATGTTGTCACATGCTATCAAATGGCTAGTGCCATTTTAGTAGAAGCTAAAACTGGTGAGCAGGGTACAGCCCACTGGCCACATGTGGCTCATCACGGCAAGCCTCTGGCAGGCCTCCAGAAACGTTGTTTACTTTGTGTCCACACACAGGGCTGCTTGCAGCTCCCATTGGCTACAGTTTGCCATTCCCGGCCAATGGGAGCTGTGGGAAGCAGTGGCCAGCAAGACCCTACGGCTATGTTACGACAACACATTATATTGTTAGGAAAGAGCCTGCACTGTACTGTGACATCTGATTGAAACTTTTTATCATTTTCTTGCCTTTCTCTCTTGACAGGTCAGTCAATTTATATCTTCCAAGGTTCTCTATTGATGTAAAAATGGACCTAAAACAAATTCTTTATAGAATGGGAATAAAAAATGTATTCACTAATGAAGCTGACTTATCTGGAATTACTGGGCAGCCCAAGCACAAGATTTCACAGGTTAGTGAGGCTTCTTTCTGATATTTAAAACCATTTCTATACAAATGTTTCCTAGGAGAAACCCATATAAAAGGGCTTTGCTCTGTATGAAAAGCAGGGATTGAAGAATGGAATACTCAGTCCATACTAGAGAGGTTGCCTGTACAGCTGTACCGCAACTTACAGCATATACAGCGTTATGGCCCAGCAGATTTTTACAGTGTATGGGGCTACAATACTGACAATAAACTTGAGCAGATCTCTCTCTCTCTCCTCTACTTCCCGGTGAAGACTCATGCTACCATCTTCCTTTTGGTATAAAAGGGGGTGGTAGAAAGTGTTGTTTTGCATGGCATCTGTTGCTGATGTTGACTGTGCATAGCTCCATTTACCCCTCCACTTATTAAAAGCAGTTTTGTAAGGTGCTATGAAAAGCTGGGCAAAAACCACATGCTTTAGTTCACTGGCAATTCCAAAAAATCAGAGGGGAAACATCATTTCAAGTCAAACTGAAAACAAGACAGAACAAGAAATCAGAAGTAATTTTTCTAGTTTGACTGAAATGTCCAACCTTTTTTTACCTTATGGGCATTTTATTTTATTTTATTTTATTTTAAAGGGAACTTTGAAAAAAGTGATTTTTTTCAATTAAAAATTAGAACAGTTTGATTTTTTAATGGTCTTTACATTTTTTTTAAACAGGAACAATTCATCAAAATTGACTTGAATTTGCAAAGCATTTCTATGTCACCAAATTTGCATTTTTCACTGAAAAAAGTTTGGACCAAAATTTTCTCCCCATTTGAGTGCTAAGCACAATTAGCTCCCATTGGCTTTAGTGTCAGTTCAATGCAAACCATTAAGCTACATCTACACTGCAGGCTTTTTGTGCAAGAACAGCCATCTACACTGCACGCGTGTTCTTGCGCAAGTAAATTTACAATAAAGCATCAGAATAGAGGGTTTCTTGTGTAAGAGTTATTCCTCTTTCCACTAGGAATAAGCCCTCTTGTGCAAGAGCTCTTGCACAAGAAGGCAGTATGTATGAGCAGTGGGTTTCTTGCACAAGAAACCCCTATGGCTAAAATGGCCATCAGAGCTTTCTTGCACAAGAGAGCGTCCACACTGCCATGGACGCTCTTGTGCAAAAGCACATAGCAGTGTGGACATGCTCTTGCGCAAGACCTTTTGCACAAGAACTCTTGAGCAAAACAGTTTTTGCGCAAAAAGCCTGCAGTATAGACATAGCCTTACAGTTCAACCCTAGTTCAGTCCATATGGCTGTCACTCTGAGAGCTTTAACATTATACCTGGCCTGCAGGATAATTTCATTAGTTAACACAAACTCCCATTAAAAAACAATACAGAAACCCTTAAATCTCACAAATGAATAGATGGAATCTGATGAATCCAGACCAGTAAGTGTCTTTCAGTGCAGTAAGGACAAGCTTGTGCCTTTTTCTGCCCCACACCTGTTTTACCTATCCAACTTCTGAAGCTGTTAACAAATAAGACATATTAAAAAAAAAGTAATCTCTAACCCCTTTGGTCTATTTTTCTGTCTTGACTGTTCTCCCCTGTGATCTATTACTCTACTCTAAATTTGCCAAAGACAAGTAGATGTAATTAGGTTTGCCAGGTATCCGGTATTGACCCTGACAGTCCGGTATTTTCACCAGTAAAAAAATTCAGAAAATACCAGACACTTAAAATGTCCGGTATTTTCTGATTTTTTCCTGGCAAGGTGGCAAAAATCCTGGGTTCTTACCTAGTTCTGCAGGGGAGCTGTCTGGCCGGGAGCAGGAAGACAAGATGGCAGATGGCTGCCAGCAGCCTGTTAGGGACAAAAAGCCTCAAAAGCATTTCTTAAAAGGGCCATGCTGGTTTTTTTAATTTAAAAAAAATTATTTTTTTTTGCTTAATAACTCTCGGGGTCCTTTTTTTAATTTTTTTTATTTATTTATTTTGCTCAAGAACTTTGATCTCCCTCTTCCCTCCCCCCCCAACATAATTTTTTCCCCGGTGTTTTCTTTTGGGGGGGGGTTCGGTATTTTTTGTTAAATCGTCTGGCAATGCTAGGTGTAATTTTGCTCTCACACTAGTTTTTCTCTGGTGTAACCCCACAGACTTGAGTGAAGTCTGATTTATACTGGTGTAAGCAAGAGAAGAATCAGGGCTCTGGTGTAACCCCACAGACTTGAGTGAAGTCTGATTTACACTGGTGTAAGCAACAGGAGAATCAGGGCCAGTGCTCATGATAGTAGTATAGAATAGTGACTCTGAAAATGTCCTCTTTTAAGGATGAGACAATTTTGATTTTTTTTTCTTGCTGAATTTGCAGTTGCCTTTTTGCGTTGTGGTGGTCACTCACACCTGTTGCCCATTACTTAGCAGTTATTTCTCTCAATACTTTTACTTTAAAACAATCAAACTCATATTCAGATACCTGCTTATAGTCCACACCCAGAATGCTAATCTTTGTTGATTTTCCCATAGGCTATCCATCAGGCCATGGTGAATGTGGATGAGAATGGCACTGAAGCTTCAGCAGCCTCTTCTCTGGAAATAGTGCCAATGTCTGTGCCCGCTACCGTTATTTTCAACAACCCGTTCTTCATGATGTTAGTAACTGAAAGTGAGGACATACTCTTTATGAGCAAAATCATGAACCCTGTGGAAAACTAGAGTCCAAATTGCTGTATGCATTAACTACGAGTAATTTACCACGACTGTTAAATAAAGACACGTTTTGACCTAATCAGTGAAGTGATGACATTAGAGGCCACATTTTCCCTCATAGTGTCATATATTTAGCTTCCTAACAGATCTTTAATTGATTTTAAATCACCATCACTACAGATTGGTTTGGGTTTACATTTTAAAAAAAGAGAAGAAATGGAACTCAGGTTGAACCGTCAGCAAAGGTGAAAGGAGAATGTTCTTTGCAACACTGAAAGCAACCATCTGTTTTCTGGCAAGCGAGGATCAGAACAGGTGCTGAGTACTAACCTAGGCCTGCTGCACCCTCCTGTCCACATCCTCACCGTGTAAATTACATTTGTTTTGCATGCTCACTGACTGCCAGATCTGTCCAAATTACATTCCTTTACCACTTACATCTGTTTTCTCCCCAGCCAGAGGCTCAGTCTAGCAGTCATCTAACAAATGTAATGCTTACTACCCTGAGTGGCCCCAGTGCTGTCAATGAATCTGATAAATGCCCTGTACCCCGTTTGTGCCACCGGGAGGTGGAGGGAGTGGTAAGGAGCAAGCACAAGAGAAAGCGTAAGATCTTCCTGGTGAATTGCATTGGCACCGCTGTATGTTTCTACACAAGCCTACAGCATACTGACCATTCTAGGGCAGAACAGAGGCATATAAGAATTAAGACAGAAAAGGGAAAGGGAGGAGGCATGGCCAGAGTAGAACAATGCCCCAAATATTCATCCTTTAAGTAGCCTGTGGGTGACACTGAATCAAATTTCAGTTTCATTTAACTCTGTGCCAGAGCCTGATCCAGGTTTTGGAAGCCCTCAAATAGGAGAAATGGCTTGTGTTTTCCTGGTGTCCTTCTGTCAGTGTTTTTACCAGGATAGGATGATTCTAACCCAATGGAACCACTCATGGTAGTAAACATCACTCCAGTAGTTAATGTTTGCAGGATCCATCACTGACAGCCTATCTATATGGATATGTCTACACTGCAACACTATTTCAAAATAACTAGTGCTATTCTGAACTAACGTAGTCTGCGTCTACACAGCAGGCAGTTATTTCAAAATAGTGTCAAATTACTGTCAAGCTGGAGGGCTTCTTACTCCAACTCCTGTAATCTTCATTGTATGAGGAATAAGGGGAGTCAGAGAAAGAGTGCTTTAATTTCAAAATAACTGCTATGTAGACATTCCCTATTTCAAAATGAGCTATTTTGAAATACGCTACGCAATTGATGTAGCTCAATTTGCATAGCTTAGTTCGAGTTAAGCCCTGCAATGTAGATGCACCCTAATGTGCACCACATTTTACATAGCTACGATTTGGGCTGTAGTATCTTGAAGTGGCCCCTGTCTGTTCCCACATTATACCTTCACAGAATATCTGCATTCAGCTCAACACTTGCTTTGTATATTAATATAGTCACACTTGTATAGGATTTGTTTTTAATGTAAGGATAGAAAAGCTTCCAAGATCACTTATACTACAGATGCTCATTTATGGTTTTTTCTGATCTAAATTTTACCTTCATAAAATTTTACTCTAGTTTCACAAGATCTATCAATACAGTTTCTTCTGTATTCATGCTCATGTTATATTTTTCTGACCTCTAGTGGCAGTAGAGGTAAATTACTGAGTCATTCTGTTAATGGGTATTCTGTTATTATTTTCATTCTTTATGTTTGACCTTGAAATATACAGGCCACTTACTATGCTAGAGAAATGAAACGTAATAAACATGAAAATTTAAAAGTTTGTAGTTGTACTACCTAATTTCTACAGACAGGAATTAAGCAATTAGGACATATGATGCAACCTGTCATATCAACCAATGTTGTATCTATGTGTTAATTAAGATCTCCATAGGGATGGCTCTAGTGGATTTCCTATTGGCCTGTGCTCTTTATCATGTATGTATATATTGTCCCCCTTGTGGCCTGAGTTGCTAACCAATAGTTAGGGTCTTATGGTTGCTTTCTTTAGAACTTATTGATGATAGTTAGGTTAGGTATCTTTTTATGCAATCCTTTTTATTTACAAAGACTGTACAAAGAGTCCTGTTTTTCCAAACACAGTAAGAAGCAAACAACTGGAGGCAGTTTCTTTGCTCACAATTCTAAACCTCTTTCCACCTAACACTCTGCCCAAAAATTTTTCTCTTGGCTCAGAACCATGTTACCAATGCTTTTCTTGCTGTCTCATTGGTTTTTTTCTGCTACCCCATCTGTTTGCTTGCTTCTTCTTTCACACTACACAGAAACAGAGATAGCTCCTAAAATTGCAATTAGTCCTTCATCTTGTTATGGTAGGAAAGCTGGCAGTGTGCCCTAAAGATGGTCAGAATCTAGGTCTGTCTGATTTTTTTTGGAACCTGTTCTACAGTTAAACCTCTTTTATATCTGAACCCTCTCAGGAGTTCTTAGAAAGCTAGATAAGAGCAAAGGTAAGTTTTATTCCCCTTGCTTTATCACATAACTTGCATTCTTATTTCTCTTCCTCTCCTCTTTCCTTTTTCTACCCTCACTTCTCATGGTGCATTTTGGGAGTTATAGTTCCTAGAGCCAGAGTTACAGGAACACCTAGGAGCAAACTTACATTTTTTGCAACCTGGTTTAGCTATCTGCACCTAGCTAGATTCAACACCCTTGACTGAGAAGGCTTCGCTTGCATGTTTCTTCCTGGGTTCTGTAAAATGGTGTTGTAACAAAGAGATTACTGCAGTCCTGGCTCATGGATGGACTTGCTGACGTAGCTGCATCCTGATCCCTCCGGTGGTTCGGAAGATTGAACTGACAAAGGAAGCAGACTTGCCAGGGATATGAGCACAGAGGGCTATACTCACAGTGACCTCTCCCATTAAGGTGATGAGCTGCTGCATTTGTATTGTTTCCATCAGCAGTACCAGATACAATAAGTTATAGTAATCTAGTCTAGTGCTGATGCTGGATCATTGCTGCCCCGTGAATGAGAGCAGCCCTATTGACTCCTGCCCCTATGCCTTAGGGCTACGTCTACACTACTACGTCTACACTGCAGGCTTTTTGCACAAGGACTGCTGTTCTTGCACAAAAACTTGCGGAGCGTCTACACTGCATGTGCATTTTGCGCAAGTCAATTTACAGTAAAGCATCAGAAAAGAGGGCTTCTTGCGCAAGAGTTATTCCTCTCCCCACACAAGAGCTCTTGCGCGAGAAGGCAGTGTGGACAGGCAACAGGGGTTTCTTATGCAAGAAACCCCTATGGCTAAAATGGCCATCAGAGCTTTCTTATGTAAGAGAGCATCCATGCTGCCATGGATGCTCTTGCGCAAAAGCACACCGCAGTGTGGACGCACTCTTGTACAAGACCTTTTGCGCAATAACTCTTGTGCAAAACAGTTCTTCCTGCAGTGTAGACGTAGCCCAGAGGGTTTTTTTTTTTTTTGGAAAAATGGCCTTTTTTTAAAAAACCTTAATTTATGTCCATACTGCAATCCCATTCTTTTGAAAAAATATTGATAGAACATAGGAGTTTTTCCGACATTGGTAAACCTTTTTCTATGAGAAAGAAGCCTTTTTCTGAAAGAGCTCTTTCGGAAAAAGGTGTGTGTGGACGGGGAAGAGGGAGTTCTTTCAAAATAAAAGAAAAGAAGAAAAAGCACAGGTGCCTTGGTGGCCACTCCGTCCATAGTAATCACAGCTGAAATGTGTGATTCAGTGTGGACTCTATCTTTTGCAAAAGCAGATCGCTTTTTCGATGTACTTTAGCAGTGTGGACGCTCTCTTTTGGAAGAAGTTTTTTTGGAAAAGCTTCTTCTGAAAGAAGCCTGCAGTCTAAACGTAGCCTTACTGCCCTGCAAGTCAGGATTACCATATTGACTTTAGTCCTTAGGCCTCACTGTCATGAGGCAAAGGACAGCTGGAGGGCTAGGGCAAATTCACCCACTCTGTCACAGTCCCCTTTTTATTACTTCTCTTTCCTCAGTAGCTTTGGAAATCCCTTTCCAATTACTATCTATGAATTTCATAAATGTGCTTTTTCCTGCTTTTCTGCATCATTATGGAAGATATTAAATGTCTGAAATTGACACCGCAAGAATCTTTCTAATGTACTTGTGCTCAGAACCAACAGCGAAAACAGGTGACACAGTTTTAAAGGGAAGGATTTAATACGTGCTAGCAAGATATAGAAACGCAGCAATGATGGATACCATCCACCTTCTGGAGTAGTGCTTCCCTCTCGTTATATTCTGGTTTCCTGCCTTATACTAATCTCAAACAGACCCCTCAAGACCAGTCCCATAGCTTACCTTCTTGGGCAATCTTTAACCATGAATCTGGAGGCTATTTAAACAGTGTAAAACTCTAGTTTTTTGGCTAATAATTTAGCCATTGTAGCTGACCAAAGCCTTCTAATTCCTATAGAAAAAAAAGAAAATTAAATAAATATTAGACCCACTCAGCTCCAATAATAATGTGTTCTGATATCTTGTGGCATGTCATTTAAGGGACACTGTTAGATTTAAAAGTCTAAAGTGTATTTTCTTATTTAGTAATTCTGCAACGAGAGAGACCCTCCTGTTATGGCTCAATTCCCCATCTTGGCACTTTGAGCGTAGATTTGTGGACCAGCTAGCAGAATGAACTCTGTAGGAACCTGTCTCTGTAACTCCCCAAAGACAGACTTGTCTGATTTCAGTTTCCCTGAGACCAAAAAGGAAGATGTTCGGTCGCTGCTACTACCCAAGTGAAGTTAAAAAATTTAAAATAAACCCTTTCCCAGGGAAGAGATCACTTGGGAATCCCCTCCCTAAGGCAAAGCTCTCCCACCTGACCCAACTTCCATTTTGCTTGGAGTTGGGAAAACAAGAGGGAATCCACAGAGAACAGTAGGTTCTGCTGCTCCTGGGTAACTTAGGCAATCAAACAATACCAGTTAATCAAAACAAAGAAAAACACTTTTATTATCAAAACAAAACTACTGTTGCAAGCATAGTAAATGACTGGGTGTTAAAAGCCATGGAGTGGAATAGACTCAGCAGAAATCCCTGGGTTGTAATCCTTAGTTACAAAAGAGAAAAACAATTAACCAGCTCAGACATGATTTCCAAACCTCCAAACAAGGAAAACAATAAAACCTGATGGACTATCTAAACTTTTCCCTACTTACACATTTCAAGGAGTCCATTCTTGGGAGACCCCGATTCCCTTGTTATCTTGGGAAAAAATTGCTCTAATCTCAAAAGAAAAGAAAAGAGAGGGAAAAAAACCCTCTCCCGGTTTGAAATGCCTATCTGCATTTCATTGGCTGAATGCCTGAAGCACCCTCCCTCAGGTGCATTTCCAGAGTTGCTTAACCCTTTCCTGACTCCTCAGGTAAGTGAGACTCTCCTTAGCAGCTCCAATTTGTAAATCCTCTCCCTCCCCCCATCAGGATTCCTGGGTTCTCTCGCAGACCTGGGAGCATAATGGGATTTAGTGGGTTACACTAGAGAGGACAGGAAGATATATCTGGATTTTACATAAGATCATAAGAATGGCCAGTCTGGGCCAGATCAAAGGTCCATCCAACCCAGTATCCTGTCTTCTGACAATGACCAATGCCAGGTGCTTCAGAGGGAATGAACAGAAAAGGGAATCACTGAGGCTACATGTATGCTGCGAGTTTTTTTCAGCAGAAGATATGCAGAAGATATGATCATTTGCATATCTCACTCTCATTTGCATATCCTCTTCGGATCCTTTTTGCAGAAGAGGTTTTTGTGATAAAAAGCCCTACGTAGACGGGGCCATTTGTCGCAAAAAAACCCTCTTTTGCGCAAGAGCCTTTATTCCTCAAAAAATGAGGTTTTTCAGGCCTGAGTGATTCATCCCTGTTACACATTCCCAGCTTCAAGCAAACAGAGGTGAGGGAGATGCAGATCATGCTGGCCGCTCCATCCACACTCATCAGAATTCTATAGTTCCCCTGCAGGCTTTAAAGGTGCAGCCTCAGAAGAAACAGTGTGTGGCACACAGCAGACCCAGCTCACACCGTGCCACACAGCAGCAGCCTTCCCTATTATGGCAGACCACAGCAGTGAAC